TCACGTGCTCTGAGCTCAACTCCCCCTGGTGGTCATTCTGTGGATCAAGGTTGATCTGCCGTGGTCTGAGGCCTCGACCAGAGGAACCATGAAAGACTTCCCCCTGGTGGCCGTTCTCCTATTTTATTGTATATAAAAATCCATTCCAATGTAGAGACCATTAAAATGACAGAACCAGAAAAGTAAACACGGGACACCCCTCGTCACGTTATCGTTGGTGTTTTGGAAGTGTCTTGTGATGTGACTTTGTCTTTGTCCAACACCAGGAGAAGCTGATACAGAGGAGACGCTGCGACGGAAGAAGGAACAATACAGACGGGAACTGCAGCAGCAAATAGCTGAGCAGCACAGGAACAGGAAGAGGTATTTCTGAACTCTGACAGGTTAGGGTACACTGAGGTCAAACCCAGCAGTCACTGGGGGGGGGGGTCTGGACTGTGATCAGAGGAACCTCCAACCTCCTCTGACCCCCCCTCCCCTCTGTAAGACAGGGGGCACTAACCACTGATGAAGTCTGGTCTCAGTTCAGTCCAACAGCCTGACGTGAAGCAGTAACTCTGAGTGTCTTTGATTGAAGGGAGAAAGAGCTGGAGCTGAGGGTCGCTGCCACGGGAGCAAATGACCCTGAGAAGAAGGTGGGTTTGGATCTGACACACACACACACACACACACACACTGACCTCTGTATGACCTCTGCAGTAGGTGTGCTGGTGGGGGGGGTGCACGTTTGGTTCTTCTTTAGCTCTGCTCTTTCAAAAGGTTTAAACTGAAATCATCAGGTCATTGTGAGGTCATTTTTATTCCCTTTTTAGGGACCACAGTATTTTATAAAAAGTTCAGTGTTGAGACAATTGTCCAAACTACAAGAACACACACATTCACATTCTCTGTGTTAACCCCCCCCCTCCTCCCCCACCAGCCGGACCGAATCAGACAGTTTGGACTCGGCCGCAGAAAAACCCCTCAGGTGTCACACGGTTCATCAGCTGCAGCAGAGAGTGTGTCCTTCAGAGGCCCAGCTCAGGACCAGAGGAGCACAGAACCTCCTCCTCCTCCTCCTCCTCCTCAGCAGCCTCTGGTTGCCTTCCAGTCTCCCCTGCTGGAGTACAGCTCTGCTCTGGGTCTGGGTCTGTCTCCCAACAGCCACCCTGCGGCCCTGCCCCCCAGCAGGTCTGTGGACCCCCCCGGGTGCAGTCGTATTTCCTCAGTGTGAATTCATCAGAACCAGAACTGGACTGTTTTATTGATGTGTTGTTGTGTCTGCAGACTCCCTGCCTTCCCCCCACACCCTCCCCCATCTCTTAGTGACACTTACAGAAACTTCTACCCTGAACCTCATTACTGCCCCCCGGGCCCCCCACCATCCCTGCTGTAAGAACGGCGTCTCAGTCACAACATGAAAACGTCACCGCTCCGTCGTGTTCCCACCGTTCACTCAGACGTCGTTTCTTTGTGCAGGCGCTCATTTGTCGGTTCCTTGTGCCGGCCTTCCCATGTCCTGCTGGAGTGTGGCACCAGGTGGCGCTGTGCCCAGTCAGCTCAGTAACCACAGCCCCAACAGTCAGTACAGCGTGGGCAGCTTCCTGCCTGATCAGCCGACACAGTACGGTCTCTTCAAGTCATCAGATGTATTTGGTCTCCATGTCTTATATTTATTTATTTATTTATTTTTATTATTTTTTTTCTTCCTGTTGCTCCAGAAATGAGGCTCCTGAAACCAGAGCCTTCCCTTCAGAGAGATCGCGATCTGCACGAGAACGGAACCAGAACTACAGAGACGGCCTCAAAGAACAGGTCAGGAAAATCTCTAAAACCACACCCCAGTCTAATCAAACAACGGCCCGAGGGCCACAGATGGTCCGCGAACCACGTCACTGCTGGACAGTTGTAGTCCACGTCACTACTGGACAGTTGTAGTCATTGATGAAACATGGATTAAAGCAGTTGTCAAGTAACACCAGATCTTCACAGTAGAACAGACCGCGGTCGCCTAGCAACAGGAAATCCTCAGTGCATCACAGTGTATTCAATCACATGTAATACTACAGTACAACGTGTTCTGGTCTGAACTCTGACCTTTCTGCTGTGAAGTCTGGCTCAGATGAACTGGTCCAGTTGGATCAACCACGCTGTGGTACCGATGTTGGTCCTTACTTTGGCACCTGCTGTGATTGGCCTCCGTGTTGGTGATGTAACATGCATCAAAGTGTGTGCTGTGTTGGCAGGAAGATTCTAGAAGGTGGAACATGGAGATGTACGTGAAGGTAATGAAGGAACGTTGATGTTGGACCTCACTGTTCTAGAAGGTCAGCTGACCTGAGGGTCCGGTCCTGTAGTCACATGGTAGCTGTAGCTGTGGTAGACTAGCCCACTACAAGCACAACCAATCAACGCCCCCCCCCAGCCCCCAGCCCCCCGTCACCTCCCAACCTCTTCTAACCTGTAGGTCATTTGTTAGGCTGGTTTAGTTGAACACTTCACTGAGAACAGGATCTTCAACAGCTTTGACTCTATTGTTTAATGATCATATGTCGCCACCAAGTGGACGTGTGTAGAATCGTTCTGATTCTAATGATCTTCTGTGAGTACAGACCAGTTCTCCGTCTAAAGAACCCTGTGTGGACGGTGCTGAGGTCCAGGACTGAAGTTCTTGACCTGAAAATGTCTCTCTGCAGATCCGGGAGAGACAGGAGAGGAAACGGCTGGAGAGGGAGGAGAGGGAGAGATACGAGGCCCAGCTGGAGGCTGACATGAGGAATCACCAGCCCTGGGGTCGAGGCGGGGGGGGGGGCCCCCCGAGGGGAAGCACAGGG